CATCTCCAGCGCCCAGAGAAGCCCCGAGCTGGATGATCACTGCTTTTTGGACGTTTATTTGTTAAATTCGTCGACAGATTTCCCCCCGCCTTCCCTCGTCTTCCCCCGGTCTAATTATGTTTCTCTCGAGTCTAACGCGCTGATAAATAAATAAATAACTTGTCTGCGAGTTTCCACGCTTTTTTTCCTTCCTTCCTTCCTTCCTTCCTTCCTTCCTTCCTTCCTTTCTTTTCTTTCTTTTTTTTTCTTGAAGAGGAATTATTAAAATCAGCCTGATGACTTTAATGATACGTCAATCATTTCAAAGTTGCTGCTTGTTGCTAATATGTCAGCCTCTGTACACATCACCGCTACTTCCTCCCTGCCGCCTTTAAAGGCTGTCCCCTCCTCCCCACACAATTTGTTTCTTCAAGTTTTCATTGCTAGGTTACAATTTCTAATTAGAGCTAAGTATTTCACTTAATATTTAATTTAGACGCCCAGCACATATATCATACCTAGATCAGTCAATCAAGTGTCCCTTGTTGATAATGCTACATCATTAAGAGTTGTGTTTAATTCAGGAGCAAGCGACTGCACGGCTGCTGCTGCAGAGCAGGTAACTTTCGGCTGGCGGGAGCTGCCAGCAGATCCAGAGGGATGCAGGGAAGCAGCCAAGCTGGGCGGCGGCTCCGTCGCCTCCTCGGGAAAGTTTGTTGCTTCCCAAGCCGGCACCGCACCGCGAAGGCGAGCTGCACTCCTTTTCTCCCTCCTTTCAACAACAACAAAACCAAAAAACCCAACCAAAACCAAAACACCAAACAAACCAACCAAAACCAAAACACCACCAAAAAAACAACCCCAACCCAACACCCCCAAAACGGGGTATCTCACGTTTTCCTCCTCCAGTCTCTGTGTTTATGCAAAATAAAGGGGTAGGGGATGTCTCCAAAAGTTTGACTTGGAAGCTGGAGCACTGTTTTGGACCAGGAATAAAATACCCCCGTCGGCTTCTTAAACCAATCCAAACCGTTAAAAAAAAATCACTTGCCCACTTGTTTCTTAGCACGGCCGGCACAGCACACATCGCATCAACAGGGCTGTATTACGGGAGCCGGATGGGCCACAGCTTGCATACCCAACAAATGCGCATTCATTTATCTCGGGAAATCGTGACTAAAAAGAGAGGCAGAAGAAGAAAGAGACAGAAAACGGGAAGGAAGGAGAAGGATAGATGTGTTTGTAAAGACAGCATCAGTGCAAAATTGCCAGCGCTTGCCACTGAAGACTGGCAAAAATTAAATAATATAATAATAATAATAATAATAATAATAATAATAAAGCCTAATAAGACCAACACGATGGGTTCTCCTTTACCTGCCCCGGGCTCTCCCTCTCTCCCCCCTCGCCTTCCCCCTTGCCGCGGCCGCCGTGCTGCATTTTCCGCTCGCCCGTACCTCGACCGCTACGCCCCAGCCCCGTCTGAGCCCCTGCCTCGCCCGATAAAAAAAATAATCAGCCCTTGCAAGCGTCGACTGAGTCGCTCCCGAGTCAGGATTAAGGGGCACTAACTAGGCAGCAGAAAATCGCAGCCTCCTGGGAGCGACCATCAAAACAAGCAGCGAAATAAAAGAGCTTCCCTCTCTGCTTCCCTTCCTCTCCCCCGAAAAGTCCTCCAGGTTGGCAGCCCGACACTCGCACACCCTTACACAAAGCTCACAACTTCGCAGGGCTCTCTCCAGACGAGAGCACAGGCTTGTCCTGGTTTATTTAGGGGGAAGTTTTTGGGGAGGGGGGGAGTTGCTCCCCTGCCCTGCAGAGCCACATGTCATTCTAGCAGCTGAAACAATGAATCATGTGGGATCAAGTAAGATTGACTGGAAACGGACGGCAGGTTCCCC